ATCGCTAACCGTAATCTTGTTAAGACTTGCAAAGTTTATAGGCGCTGCAGTTCAATTTATACTTTAGTAAACTGTATTGAACTTTTCCGCTTGGAAAACTTTTCATACATCCACAGTAGAATGTTTATATTATATTATATTATATATATATATATATATAATCATGAGTGATGAAAAAGAAATATGAACGAGAATATGTTGCATGATGTATTGTCTTTCCGACATGCAAAAATGAAACTGTTCCGACCCATGAACATATCATAGGCTCGATTATGTTTTCCATCTTAAATCATGTCATAGGTTTCAAGGTTAAGCATTCAAGTTATTTTTTACGTCAGTAACAAAAGAACGAATTTTCCCCTGCAACTGACATACATCATGATTATTATGACTACTGGCAAATCGAAATACTACCGCTCGTAAAACTATTCTCGATAATATAACGAAAAAAAGATATATACTGTAATTTATTAAAGCTTTTAATATAATTGGCAAAATTAAAGAGGTATTTTAGGGTTCATTAAAGAAATACGACAGTTTATTACAACTGGAAAACCAGCTGAAGCCTAATATAGGCTGAATACTGGCGATAAGTGCCACAAATTTGAATTTTATAGTCCCAATTTTTTATAATTCCAACTGACAAGGACAGAAAAATTACAGCTCATTACAATTCATGAACTAAGGTAAAAAGTAAGTCTACAATTTCCAGCTTCTTAAATCTAAATAGCAATGTAACCAAGTTAATATACAAGAAAAACGTTATGAAATGAAGAAAACAGTAAACCGCTATTAAAAGAGAAAAAATATGAGGAAATCGTGCTGGTGGTGCAAAAAGTAAACTTGCCAAACAAAGCGCTAACGATGTCAAACAGCTTCCATGAACAACCAATTGCTAAAAATACATTCCAACAATCCCAAAACATAAAAAAAGTGGCAATGAATTTGAGGTAGTTATGATAGTGCTGACAGCTAGAAATCAAATAAACCCTTGCAAGATGTAACCTTTTAGAATTATTTCAAGCAAGCGTCAAGTTCTTTTAATAGAAAATATAAAGTACCATAAACATCGAAAGTTTTGAAAAGGATGAATATGTAATAATATAATAGAAAATAAATAACGCCAAATGAATAGCATTGCCGTCTTTGATGCACAATGGATAGAGACTGAAAAAAACTACTTTGTTGTAACCTACCAATCAAATGCGAGTATAAAAATAAATGGATTTTATATTCAAAAAAAAAGTTATTTTCGAAGTTAACGATTGTCATCGTCAAATGTAAATGGCTCTGGCAGTAGGAACACTTATTAATTCAATCGAAAACAAGGAACTTAGAAAATTCGAGGCATATAAAAGTTAATGATATTGTAAATAAAAAGTGCTAGGAATAAATTTTATTGCCTAGCTTTATTCTTTTTTTTTCTGCAAAATAAAACTTGGGTTCACGCTACCACAATGCTAATCACTTCCCACCTACAACTACGAATTTGCAGTCTACAATAAAGCACTAAAGCTTTATAATGTATCAATACATGTATCAGTACACGGTTTCTCAATGTTAATTTATGGTATCTTAAAAAAAGCTGTCAAATTCAATAGGGGTGAGAACAACAGCAAAAATATACAACCTTATATTTGAAATAATCAGTAACCAAGACACAAGCACAGGATTCTCATTCCACAACAATATGGCAGGTCTGCAACAAGATACTATTCTTCTTATCACAAAGTAAAATAATCTGGATATTGATCTAAAATATTATTGGAACTAAAAAGAAAAAAAAAATGAAGAAACATACAGGGCTACAAGAAGGATTGATTTTTCATGGACTTGAAATGAAAACAAAAAGAAAGATAAACTGGATGCCAATAAACAATATTTGAAGTTCGTCCTAGTTGGATGACAAAATAAACACACTGACCACGGAATATTCGTTATAAGAACCACTACGGTGCTAAAAATAAAAGTTTCGTAAATCATTAAATCCACCTGTCGCAATATACAATTTATCACTACTAATAAAAAATCTAACAGAATAAAATTCAAAAAAGCAAAAATTAGGAATGGGTACCTTATGCGCAACAAAACTACTGTTTCAAAATTATCCTTCAATTTGTAAAACACATTAATGGAACACCAAAAATTCGCCACTTTATCCTAAACAAATGTTACTTTATAACACTTTTAGCATCTGAAATAAAATATGTTAAATATCATTTTTATACCTCGAAAATGCCGCGGTAAAATGGAAAAATCCTGTATAAAATCTGCATCAAATCAGATCTGGTGATAAGAAAAGGAAAACAGACGAACAGAATTGTGACGATGACAGTAATAAACAATATAAGGAGCTGTTCTGCCCAACAAAAATATCTAAAGGATATATTTTTTTAGTTTAATGAATAAAAGTATGTTACCACATTTACTTTTGTCGATTGCTGTACTAACAAAAAAAAAACCTCTGACTCATGATTAATCGGTTATCACTTGAAAATGACTCTGACAATAAATAAATGGCAACCGGCAAGGCATGGTACAACTCCATTTGTTTGAAGCTTAATGATAATACAAAAAGCATTGAACCAAGTTTTAAAAAACTTGAAACGAAGCAAGCAAATGAAAAGAGAAATAATCCAAGAGACACGTGATTGTATCTAAAATCAAAATTAGGAGAATGCGATAAGCGAATTTTCTTCATTCAGCAAATAAACATAGCATACCCAAGGCAGTGAATAGCTGTCACTCTCGGATGCCTTTGCTTTTTATACAGTAAGAATTATTAAATTTAAACAAAAAAAAGTGCAACACAAAACATCCAAATAAGAATCCAAAACCAACTGAAAATGGCCACTGTCCACTACCAACAATCCTGGATAAAGCACAGCTATCGCACAATAATTAAGCTGCAATATGACGTCTTAACATCGTTCTTTTCTTCGAAGTTTTATTAGAAATTATTCAGAACTTCAATCATAGACAACATTTATGAAAAGAAAAAAAAGCCATTAAAAAAAAAAAAAAAAGCGAGTTTTAAATAAAGCTTACCATTCTGTGAGATAAAGTGTTGTGGAAGAAACCGATTGAAAGTAATAAGGAAGAAACATAAACTATCCAAAAAGTTGCTACAACAGTAAATCGCATGAAGATTTTGTGAGTCTCTGTCTCCATCCCCCTTGATATACGTAGCTCAATCCATGAACGATTCAGCTTGTTCGCTCTGCAAAGTTATCATTTATAACTTTATAACTACTAATAAAATACCAGTAGGAGAAGAAAGTGTAGATAAAAATTTTCATTTAAAGTCATATAAATATTCCAGTATTATTCCAAAAAGAACATAAATCGCAAAATTACGCATCTGCTTTATAATAATAATTCCTGATTATATGACACATTTTTTTTCCCTGAAATTCCCATTCATTAATTAGTTTCGAATAAAAAAGGCTCTGGATTCAATTTCGATCAGAATGATGAACTATTTTTCATAGTAACACTTATGTAAAAAAATTTAGATTCAGTTTCCATCTAGTTATTATAATAACTGCAACAACTGGAGGAAAAAAAAAAACTTAAGTATGGATAAACTCACAAAGTTCCGAGAAGCCAACTGTGATAAGCTGTAAGAGGTGGATAATCCAGTCCCCAGTAATTTAAGTCATTATCACTACCATTTACGTACCTATTAATGAAAAATTTGCTGCATCTCAACATATAAATGACAAAACTTTAAGAAAGATAAAATATACTGAATAAGCTTCGAAAGAAGATTGAAATACGATACATAAACTCTCAGCTAGAAAAATTCGATTCAATTCAGCAAACATCTACAAAATTATGTCAAAATTTTTAAAGTAGTAATATTAATACCACTGATTAATAGGCAAATGATATGTGATTTCCATCCAATGTCTCTGAGCCTCATAATCACCATACATCGGCGGGGTTGCATGACCTAGAAGATGATTTCCTAATAAGAAAAAAAAGTACGGGGAAGATCTGTGTCATGTCTTCCTCATAACAACAAAGCAATATAAAATTTTTTCTTTCGGCATCTAAAGCCTCTTTACATTAAATGTTATGTGATCGAATAAAAAATGATGTGAAAAGGAGTCGTGAAGAAAGTAAGACAAGTAAACTAATTTCATTAATGAATGGTAAGTGAAAACGAACCAGAATAAGATCCCAACGATAAGGCAATCTGAAGAGTGAAAGCAAAGCATAAAACAATAAAGAATACTGTTTGATTTGTTCTATTGATGACAACGTCCATTCCTGCTTCCTTCATCTCAGACCTCGCCACACTACCAACATTAGTTCGCATTAGTCCGAGAAAAGTGGTTGGTCATCCGATACACTCTCTCTGTGCGCAACTCGTATCCAAACCAGCGCTAGACTGCCTCTACCTCTTCTCTTCTTACCTCACCCAAGCTCTCCCCCTTCTTTATGTTATTATCACATAATCTCATTAATCTTTCTCGTATCTCTAATTTCCGCACTATTTTCCCGCCGCTCATATTCGATTATCAGTGATCTCTATCAACGTGTTCTTTTTCTCTAGTTCGTCAAATTACTACATGCAGCCATACCGCTCTTCGTACCATCTCGGGAACTGACAATCACTAACACACAGAGATAAAATTAAAACCTCGGGAAGCCCCGGGAGACTTATGCAGCAATCCAACTTAATTAACTGAGTATACAATCACTGTTCATCTTCTGCTTCCTTTAACGTTCCCTATCCTTGTTGTGTCATTAAAACAATTTTCAAACTGTTTCTATTTACTTTTATTACCATGGCATATTTTGATTAATATGTGTTGGTCTTACAAAAGGTATATATATATATATATATATATATATATATATATATACATGATATGATATGAGTATGAAATGTACTCTTATGTTGAGAGTATTTCTTTTCTTTAAATGTACAAATCTGAATAGATAATACGCAAAAATATATTAAATCACAACATTCAATATATAATTACAGATTAACGGATGAGCGCTGTTTGTTCCAATTTGATTTCTTTATATAGTTTATCAGTGCCTTTCTTCATTTGATATAAATAGAGCATCAATTCTTTTTTAAAAATCATACCACAACAACCTCGGCACCTCAGCGACAGCACTCGTTCCAGATCTTTGTAGACTGCGCCAGAAAGCGTGGCCAGTATTTCGCGCATTTCCAACTGAAATAAATAGATAAAAAAAAAAAAAAATCTCTCATAATGAGTAAGATATTTTCAAAGTCCAAATTTATCTGGTTACTCATTAGAGAATGACAGTTTAGAAGTTATATGTTTTAAATAATTTTGATTCCAGATTAAGTCAATCTAAAAATATGAAAACAAAAATAACTTATTTGACTCATGCATATAATGATTCTGCAGGATTCTATTGGGTTCAAGAGTTTTTTCTATTTCTTATCACTTAGTCCACAATATGTTCCCAGATTTACTTCATTTTACCTACTAATTCAAGGGAAAGTTGTTCGCTAGCGCGATTTGTCTTTCCATGTCCCATTGTTACCTATATGACCTTTCTCATCTTTATCACACTCTGCTGTGGAATTCATAGTACTTGAGTCAGATGGAACCTTGCACTTATTGAATTTCAGCAGCCAGTCCACTTTAGTTTCACTAATTCTTGCTGTATCAATATTTATTCGGATAAGTTTCTCTGATGAGGCCATTTCGATATCTAAATTTACCAGAAACGGCATTACCTTGTCCTGAAATACAGTTATTACATTACATTATATATTCATTTTTCTTTTGATGAATTTTTGAAAACTCTTCATAAATCAATATGAGACTTTAAAAAAGAATGAATAAAAACTGTAAGTGGGAAGAAAGATGACCTCTAATTCGCGGAGCAAACTACGTGCAGTTGCTGATTCATCACAAACATCTCCCGCAAAGTCTATCAGCAGGTTAATGATGGTTTTTAGCTGCAAATTGCTCCAACTACAAACAGAAATTGAATATTGTAAAGTTAGTTTAAATTCTTATTTTTTAATAATTCTTGCGGAGACATTTCCATATTTTGGAGCACAATTTTGTGATTCCATCACTCCAGTGGCTTAGAAGACACAGTGAAATATTTTTTTCTCCCCCTTTTCCTCTCTCAAAAAAAAACGATGGAAAATCAGATAACTAATTAAAGGAAAAACAAAAAGGAGAAGTATAAGCCGGTACTACTAACAGTATAGTTACTTCTGCTTGAAATTCCGAGATGGAGATGTTCCAGAATGAGGTTTTGTTTTGTTTCATCATTTCCTTTTTCTTCACTTCCCTCCAATTACTTTCCTTACTTGCTGTTATTTTTTAAAGTCTCTTAGCAAAGGTTTTCTGCTTTTATTAATTAGTAACTGGACTATTATTAATAATTAATGATATTATTAATTACTAATATTACTAATTAGTAATTAGATTGTAAAAATTGACTACCAACCGGAATGAGTAATTCTCATCAGCATAACAATATCGTTCAATAATGTGTGGCGATGTAATATCATACTTAGTGGTACAAACGAATGTATATCATTCCTATGTCGACGTTACATTATGGTAACACACATTCGAAAATGTTTGATATTACACCTTACTAGACTTAATTCTAAAAAAGTTTCACTAACTTGATTGCAAAGATGTGTGCATATGGACGCTAAATGTTCTTTGTCTACGATTGAACTCTCATCCGATGACCCATACTTCAACAGACTTCTGCTGCTTCGTCGATTCATTGCTGTGTGACACATAGAAGAGAGGATTTCGTCATTGTTGCGAGTAGTATTTCGACTCATTGAATTTTTTGAAAAAATGCTGATCATGTAATGTTAGAAGATATTTTTTTCAATAAATATAATTTGAAACGACGAAAGATTATTTTGTTGAGCACAAGCTTTTTCATTCGATCCATCAGAATTGCACTATTTAGTAACAGTTAATTGGAAAATTATGTATTTATTCAAAATTCATTTCAACGGATGTATTTGTTCAAAATTCATTTCTTGAAATTATACGAAATTAAAATTACTCTTACTCTATACATACGTTATAAAATGAAATTAGCGTGGAATTACCATTTCTGGAGTAGTTTTCATTTTAAACTTTGGAAACATAAATTGACCGGATAGATAAAAATAGTCGAAAATTAAGAATACACTATAATAAATAATAAACAAAAAGAAATGAAACGACCATATGAGTAGATAAACCATTTTAGAGAACGGAAGGTCATCATCGATAGGTTAGTTGACAAGTGGTGTGGCAAAAAAGATATTAACACCGCAATTTGGGCAAAATTTGCGATAGAAAGAATCATTCCGATAAATCACACTACCAGAAATAATATTATTTTTGCACGACTTTGAGCAGCAGCTTGATAAAAGAAATTAATTTCAACTTAGAAACAAATTCAAGTGATTGGGAAATTAGTTTTAAAAAAACAAATTTTTTTTAAAAAACAAGCGTTCAGAAATTGTTTACGGCTTATAATTTCAAATTATAAGCCGTAAACAATGAATGCTGATGAAATGATACGCACACAATTTATCTCACAAATGTAAAGATCCAGCGGATATTGTTCAGAATGCCCTACATTGTCAACAACATTGCCCTAGATGACAAATGAATACAATTTAACCTCCTCAATCGTCAAATAAGCGCATGTGACAGATAAAATCTAACCCTATAAAGAAATATGGGCTGACTTGCACTTCACCGGTCGGTATAACCCAGTTCTAACGTGACATATGATAGATACATCAGTAGAGATAACATATATATCAACATACTATTGTTTATTTCAGCTCCAACTGTGATGTAAAATAAGACGCGAAAAAAACGCTTCGTTGTCATACATCACAAACTTCACTGTTTCATTTCTGTGTCTTTTACAAAATAGCAGGTAGAACTTGCTTGGTCATCTCTCTTGTTTGGTCATCTCTGTTGCTTAGTCAGCCCTTTTGCTTGGTCATCCCTCTTGTTTGGTCATGCCTCTTGCTTGGTCACTTTTTTACTCTATTATAAGATGCATATAACGGCCATACTACAATGATTTAGTGCAGTATTTATGAACAGTGAAAGAATCATATACATTCAAACACTTGTTAAAGTTCCTTATCGACTGGTTTTTAACTTTAAGAAAATTATTTTATCTAGCAGGAAGAAGAGATACATAGGGCGGTAACAATTTATCTAGTAGGAAGAAGGTCAATATGAGAAACACTTGGTTGTGACATTTTTAAAAGGTAATTTCATTTTTGGCTTTAACAATAAAATGAAGAAATTTGGGGAATAGTAGTGCTCTCAATATAGGTATATATTTCTGAAGTGGCTTTGATATGCACAGAAATTAAATTTACCCAGAATTTTTGGAGTGATATCATAACTACAAACCAATTATGACATCACTTCATTTCAAAAATATTTCTCCTCTTATTAGAAATAACGTTATCAAAGAAAAATGGACAAAGGAAAATATCAGAGACCAATTAAAAGATTGCTTGTTGATTGAGGAATTCCATATCTACTGAATTGCAACATATTTGAATCATTTACCGGTAATTACTAACATTAAAAGTCTTCATAACTGTGTAGTCATTAAACTTATTATCAAGTCGAACTGTATCAAAATGCAAAATTGATGTGTGAATGATGTGAATACAAATGCATGAAACTTATTCGTAATTAATATAAAACAAATTCCGGCCGTATTTTTCAGAAACTTGTTATTTTACACTTAAACTTACAAACTGCTATATGATGTTTATAAAATCTATAAAGTTATTAGTTTATTAGTACTGAAAAGCTAAAAAAAGAAAAACAGAAGCATAAGTACTACTTCCATAAATTTGAAATTTGCTTTGTTTTTGTCCATATAGCAATTACTGTAACTCTAACATATGTTTACCTGAATTTTGAGCACTTGAAAAAGTAAGGAAATGAAGCGAAAATTTTAACCAGCAGCGAATAAATCACTGTTAAAAATTATACAAGAGAAAAAGTTTCAATCAGTTCTTGCACTTTTAGACATTACAATAAAAATTATATACTAGATCTAAGAGTTATATGCAACAAATTTCAAGTATCTTGAGAAGCAAGGAAGATAAAATGGTTCCTAAATAAGATTTCTTCATAATTTATTCATATCTAAAGTATCATCAGATGATTATGAATGATAGAGTAAGTTATAATAAGAGATTGGGTAAATAACTAATACCCAACATCAACAATGTATAAAAGCTGTCAAGTGTCAAGTTCGTAGAAAATTCAAAACATGTAATTCCAGTCGTGAATCGACTTTCATTAAAATTAGGCATTTTTAAACGCTCTCAGAGAAAATACTTCTACTAAAGTCAAGATGCATGGTAGTAAATAGATATTTGAGATCTATCTTTTAAAAATCAACGATAACAAAAAATATAAAACCACACTCTTTTTAGTAAATCAGAAATACTTGTTGTACAGTATTGAAAAGATCGACTGGTCCTGTTCCACTTTTACTTCCTAAAATCACGTTTTACTAGTAATCAAATATGTATCATTCAACAGTATGTGGATTCATTTTTTTCTCCATATTCACATCATTTGACGTAGCTTAAGAATCTTTTTGTTATCTACAAAAAACAATAACAATTTTCACTTGGCCCAAATTTCTTCTTTGAAAGTTGCATCTAATATTTTTGATTGGAAAATCGACGAACTAATTAAAAAGTATTTCAAATATCAAATATTTTAAGAAAATGAAGAACAAAAGATTTGGGAAGATTTTTTGGACAGCTTTCGCAGAGTGGAATACGAAGTGAAAAGAAATCAGGATTGAAAACCAACAAATATGAGATTTGTAGTTTGAACTTAAGTGATGATGTCTATCTGATGAAGCTATTCTCCTTATACTTCTTAGACAGTGACAACCATATAATAAACAAAAATGATGTTCACTCCGTGAATTTGATCCTTTTTGTAAATGTTGTATTAAAGAAAAACAGATATCATTATATATCATCATATATGTCCGTTATTATATCAATAAGTGAATGTTTTTTTGTATGTCCTTAGCATAAATATTCATTGATCTTTTAGGAAACCAGTAAGATTTAACTGCACCATATTTATGAAGGTCTGTTAGATGACCACGTGGATGTGTTTGAATGCATGGAAAGTCATTGACTGAGCGTGGCTAGAATATTTCAGATCTATTTATTGGTGTCGTTGGAACAAAAACCAATTCCAAATAACTTTACAGGGTGCCAGGCATCGGGAACATACATCATGAAACTTTGTGTCATTTCATCACTTTCCAATTATAAATTAACCTTTTACATAAAACATTTCGCCACAAAAACCTGACTAATTACTGAATCAGGAATCAATATACAAAGGCGTGAACTACCAGCAAATACAAATTTGCGTATGTTTTCAGTCGTTGTTCTGTTTTTACTAGTTCTTCTTGAATTTTATTTTCTTTAAGCAACTAAAAAAGATTCAAGTTATGAATTCTACTTTTCGCATTTCTTTTTCCTGAGAATATCTTCTGTCCTATCTAACAGTATGCTTGGTTCAAGTAATCACATATCAGAATGTATTATCAGATGACATTAAGTCTCATATTTGCCTACAAATCAGACAGATTCTGCGAAATAGTATTTCTTATGAGTGTTTAAAAACAATTTTAGCAAAGCAGTTAACTGAAATCTGGATTGTAAATAAACTTCTTGAACTTTATGGTGCTATGCATTTGTTCAAAAAAATCGAACAACCGCAAGTTGCTGCTTCATTAATGGTACTAGATGACTTCTAGCATGCATTCGTAGTTCTATAGAATGAAGTGTTACAATTATGCTATATCATTGTATAAAAGTTTGCTTGAAAAAATTTAATTCAAAAGATTCATGTAAAATAATTTGTTAAAAAATTCTGACATATCCATAGATATGATTTGTCATTAAATTTTAACACATCGGATCCTCCCGTTATGGTCTACAATTCTATTCAGTATCTATTTTCTCTGACTTGTCTTTTCCCATCACTTTTCTGTCAATTCTTTCACTTTGTAAAAAATTAATTTTTGTATAGTTAATCGTTTATAATTAGTTTCATTCCAAATTAGTTCCGTTATAAAAAACACAGTCTGAAACAACTGCAACAACAACGTAAAAGGTGAGAAATAGAGATGACTAATATGAACGTGAAGAAATTTTCTAAAAACAATCAATTCATGCGGGAACAAAACGAGTAGAGAAGTGGAAGGTAATCGTATAAGGAAGAGAAGAATTATGCAATACAAGTATATGTCAGTACGGGTAGATCAGATAGATGACAATTTTAGGTGGCATATTTGAAGGGCGGTAAGATAAAAAGATCACCATGCAAAATAACGGAGATCGAAGGGAGGAATACCTACAGAAGAGAGAAAATAGGGAGCTGTCCTCGATTGTCCGGGTCGTTCATGATAATCGACTATCCAAATACCATGCCGCTATTACTGTCAGTGTTTGTTATTCTCCTACTGATCTTTTTTTATTTTTTTTAATTTGATTTTCCAGGATTCTACAATCAACTGATAGGATTTTTTCAGGTATATCATGTGACATGAGCGTTAGGTCTCCCAAATATAGTTCTTCCAGAAGATACTGGGAAATATTCAATTAGTAACGAAGTTTATAACGACCTGATCATATTTTCACGATGTATAGCTTTCGATTTATCTTATTATTTGTGATGATGATAATAGCGATCAGTTCAATTTTATATTCTAAAACATGGATCTCATTTATTCCCTTGGTACGTTTATTTGCTC